CCCCAAAACCCCAAAACCCCAAAACCCCAAAACCCCTTATTATTTATAATAATTTGAAAACTCAACATCGCGGATTCAGTGATGGAAAAGAACACACATTCAGAAAGCCATGAGGCTTCTAAGATTACTGGGATAGATAAGATTGAAGCAAAGTTACAGGAAAAGTTCAAAGCAGAGAATAAAGACTATGATGCAAGGGTGGAGTTCAACATCCCCAAATTTTGCAACTTCTCAGATGATCCAGATCATCAAAGGTAATTAATTCACTGAAATCCTTTAAGATTCTAACATTCATACTATTTTCTGTCTTTTAGGTTTGACAAAGAGGATAAAGATATATACAACTGGTTCTTCTCAGCGAATGATAATGACATCAGGCTCAGCTCAATTGAAGAATTCAATAAAGTTAAACTAGCTAATGAAATCATGATAAAGAAAGAGCCCAATAAAATCAGAAGAAGAACCCCAATGTTTCTCAGAAAAGATCGCATAGAGCAGGCTTACAAATAAACGCATTGGAAGATTTAAGAAGAAAAGTCAAGAGCCTAAGATCACTACCAAAAAGGTACAGCTAGATATTAAGAAAAAGCAACTCATTAAAGAAGTCAAAGAAAGCGAACCCCAAAGAGATTTTACTAGCTTCGGATCAAAAATGAGAACCACCCCTTCAACCTCAAAAAGGTCTTCAAATGATGTTAAGCAGGCAGATTCTACCAAGTCTCCAGACAAAATTAAAGAGAAAGCTTCATGATCACTTAAGGTGACTCCTGACTCAAAAGCACACAAAGGTAATTGCAGATTTTTAAATATGCGCTTTCTTCTCATTAATCAAATCTGAATTAGAACCTAAAACCTAACTATAACATAGCTTCTGAGTGAACTAGCAAAACTCAGAAGAAAACAAAGAGAAGAAACAGGACTAAACTGAGCAACCTCAGTTGTTCGAACATGAAGACTGTCTCCGTGAGCCTTACTCTCTCTCAAATGTCAAAGATAGGATGTAAAGAATCAGAAAATAAACCAAAGACTTCTAAACCAGACCAAGCGAAGGAGAGATGCCCTACTGCTCGTAGTATACTCAAGAATTCAGAAAGATACCTGAATTTTTCCAAATACATCACTAATGGCTCAAATAAGGTCTGCTCTCCAATTCTATCAAAAGAGAAGCAAAAACCTTCAAAAACTCCTAGAAATAAGTCCGGACACAAGACCGTTTTCATGTATGAACCTACTGTACAGAAAAAGTTGATTAAAACAAGATTCAAAGACAACCTAAAGAAGGCTATGGGAAATGTATCTACTTCTGGATTACCCGAACGCACAGCATCCAGGAAGGTAAAAGATAGAGCAGTTAATAAAAGTATAAGCAAGAAACATGTGCCACAAGACCGAACTGAGGTATAGATCTAGATTGTATAAAACCTGCCAATATTTAGAGCAGAATTAGGAATGGCTTTCTCCCCTGTGGAATTCTTAGTGCAAAATAAAGATTAGTTCTAGCCAATTCCTCATTTATTTAGCAATTCTTCAAAGTTAATATTGTTAAGGCTTCTAAATTATTAAATGTGTGTATAATTTTCTCACATTTATTTATTATTTCCAATATCTGTACTAAATTTAAAGGAAAATCTACAGAAGACACAAAAGAATTCTATTAAAAGTAAGATCATGTTCATAAAATTTTAGACCACAAAATCAGCCAAAAGCATTACTCCAGTCAGCATTATCTTGCCTCCAACTGCACAGGTCTGAGGAAGTCCAATCAAAGTTCGATGTTTCAGTGCTTCAACACGAATCTATCAAAATATACTAAAACCAAAGAGTCAAAATTAGGGATTTTTAATAATTCTAAGCCTACTAGGACCACTAGAAATCCTAAGAAGAACAAATCTGTGAGTTATTCTCATTGTAGTCCAACACGTTTGTTTTCCAAAATGGAGAAGAAAAAGGTACATAAAAGATCCCCAAAACAGCATTTGAATCAATCGTATATTGTGAAAGAGGTTCGTCCGATGACAATAAAACAAGGAAGGACTGGTTCAAATAGAAAACATGCTTATTCTTTCCATCAAGAGAATTCTAAAGCTCCGATTGAAGAGTCTAAAATAAACCAAAATCCTAATATACAGTCCAATAGAAGATTACTGTATTCAAGTCATTTCAGCCATAACCCTGCTACTCAAAGGCAACGTATCATAAAGAGAAACTTTGGTCAAAAACTGCTTAAAGTAAGAGATGTTCAGGTGAAAACTCCGAATAAAATTATGGACCTTTCACTGGTAAAATCATCAGAAATACTGTCAAAATATACTAAATTCTATGCCAAGAATACTGCTTCAAAAAGGTAAGTTAACATTCTGAGAGATATAGAAAGAGACAAAGAGAGCAGCCTTTTTGTAAGTGAGATGATGCTGGGGATCAACCAGAGATGAGAAGTACTGAGCAACATTTTTAGAGACTGAGTGAATACCTTTCTGGCTAGATTGCAAAAAAAAGTATTATCCTTAGTCCAGTCTTTCCTCTTATTGCACTAAAAATCATAAATTATTTAAAATTTCAAATTTATTAAAGTAAATGGGGTTTTGGGGTTTTGGGGTTTTGGGGAGAT